CCATGTCCGATTCGTGTTTGACAATTTCAAAGAATAACTCGTTAAACTAATATGGAAACTTGAAGCCACTTCTCGATATCGCACGCATTTCAAGGACACAGCATCGAAATTGGCGCGATATCTGCCACAGAACTGTTTTTAAATAGTTTTTACACAATTATAGAATTTCATCACCGGGCAATCACGAGTACCGAACTTCCATGGACCAGCACAAACATCCCCTTCCGTTAGATCCAATGAATACGCGCGATATACTTTGTTCTATATCTTAGAATCTAATCAACTCTAATCCCTATGAGAATAGCCTATATAAACTTGCATGTATTTCTTAGCTTCTCTCTCTCTCTCTCTCTCTCTCTCTCTCTCTCTCTCTCTCTCTCTTCATAACGTGTTTGTGTAACGACATCGTTTAAACATTTTTCTATGAACGTTTCAGAAACAAACAATGAATATATTACATTAATTAATTTGGACACAAATCATATTACTCTTTATCTACAATCTAATTTTTATATTCTCCTTAATATTACTTATTCTATATTCTAATACAGAAAATGATGTGATACATATTATAAAAAATAGCGACGAGAGTCATTCTCTTTTCCTCTCTCTTTCCCCATCAAGCAACCTTCGTTTTTGACTCTCTATCTTATCCTTTCCCTCGTCTCACGTCCTTTCTTAATTGCTGTTACTATTCTCATAATCCTCGCGGTATTACAAAGCGATATGACAGACGAAGATATACGTGATGGAGAACGGCGTTACTTCCCGTTTCTTGTTTTTTCTTTTTTTTTCTTTTTATTCATTCATTTCGTCTGCGCTCATGGCGGATAAAACTATGAATGGCACAGCCAACGCGGACCTCGCGCCTCCTGTCAAAGTCCCTACCCTCTTCCTTCCTCGTTATTCCACACGGTAATGCAGTTTCTCACTTCCGGTACTGTTTCCCGTTGTGTACAAACGAGGTGGAAAAAGGCGACATTCGAATAAGAAAGCTGAAGGATTTTTAGCTGCGTATTTGACCCGCGTTGCGAGGGATCTTCTCCGGCGGCTCTATCATGCTCTTTGTGGTGCCGTTCAGGCTGCGTTTACGACTCTTCATATAGTCTGGAACAGACAATAAAGAAAACATGTCTTTACATAACCGAGGTGACAGGTTCGTCAAAGAATAGACTAGAATCTAAAGGAAAACTGTCGTTTTGAATAATATTTTAATTTCTAATTTTAAGTCGATCGCTTAACTCGCCAAAGAATACAGTAAAACATCGCATTTCAGAAAAAACAATTTTGTTGGAGTATCCAAAAATTTATTTACATACAGATTTGAAGACAATGTATTGTTGGATAATCAAAATAATTACGTAGAATGTTTAAACGTTAATGATGATACTGAAAAGTTTTAATATTCTATCGAGCAATAAAAATTTAGCTACATACATTTGAAAATAAGTTATTTTCAGATCAGTGTATAGCTAAATTTTTAGATACTTTAGTTATTTTTAGATACTGAACATATAACAAATTTTTTCAATCGAAACGCCAAATATTAAGAAATATAACGATAATAAGCAATTATATATCTTTATTAACCCTCCCTTGCAACCTGGACCTTTTTTTATTCCAAGCACTCAAATTTCTACGTCATTTTCAATTTTTAATGCTGAATTTTTTCACATCTCTTTAAAAACTTAAAATAGTAAAAATTTGGACTGGACAAAAAAGATCTAGATTGCAGATGGAAGATTAATAAAAAAAAATTAGCATAACATAAATATACATAAAGTAAAAGAAAATTGGAATACATCACACCTAAGTTAAAATAATTTTATAAAAAGTAACATTATTTATCATATATATATGTATTTCTTTTAATTTACTTATATTTATTACTTATAATTATTATTAATATATATTGCATCTGGAGTAAGTCAAAGTATCTCGGAACGCATCTGGCGGGTGGACAGCGTAAGCAATTCGCAGCTTATCTTCAGCTTCGATTTCTTATAATCGCATGCAATGCCACTTAACCTTATGCACAATCCGGCTTATTCCCGACCGCATGTATGCAAGCAAAATCTTTCCTCTCTGATAACCTTCGAAATATTATATCGTACCGTACTCGCTAATTATATCGCGAGATAAGAGCGCGAGGTCAGGATTTTATTATGTTTATTGCACGTTTGAACGCAGTTGCAATTTTCAGACAAATATTTTCGTTACCACGAAACGAATATCAAATTGGGCTCGTGACGAAATTTCGCGCGATTAAAAATATTTACGAAATGGAAAAACGATCGAGTGCTCGAAAAAGATATAAGTAGACACGAGATATTTAAATCTTTAAAATATAAAATTCCATTTTCTATATATAATAATAGTACATAAAAATTCATATAAGTCACTATATATAACGAATTTTAAATAAAAATATGATCAGTGAGCTTCAAAAAGAAGCTCACTGGACGTGACTCATAAACGGATACACCCCAGAGGTACAAAGGCACCCCTTTAGAGTACCATTTGGCGAAATTTCCACGCGATGAAAATAGATGCATCTGTCCCATTCTCTAGTCAACCTTCTCGTACTTTTGTCGTTTGCCGAGCTACGTGATAAAAATTATTAAAATTGCATGAGCATCTATGTTTCATTCTTTTAACATTCCCTTATTTAAAAATTCTTTTACGAGTTATTATTTTAAATATTATATTTAATATTTCATGGATATATTTTATTGTAATATATTATAGAGTCTAAACATTGCTCCCTCCCATCTCTGTCTCATAATTCTGATATGTATACATTTTTTCTAATTAGCAAGCGAACTTAAGAATGTATTACCACAAATTTTTCAAGATTTAAAAGTTGCCATAATAAGAATCCGAATCCATAAAGGATTTCGCAATTATTTCTCTGCGCGATGCTTTAAATATCTGGGACGAGATATGCGGGCGCTATCCAGATTTTAAATGCCGACCCTTTTGCAACGATCCGTCTGCCGCCCCTGGGGTTCGTAGACAGGGGCACGCGATTGCGTGCACAGCTGATGCCCCCCACGCGTGCAAACACTCGACGTACACGCGTCACGCGGAATACAAAGGGCTCGAAAAGGGGGCTAGTGGGGGTCGGAAAGGGAGACGGGAGAAAAGACATGGGGGTGCACTCGGGGCCAGCAACCCCATATGGATTTCAACAGCTGACCGTGCGGCTCATTAATAAAGTACGTTAGAAATATCGTTCGGCGCCCCCATGGCTGTATCCGTAAAGCAAAATACGTTACGAACTCGTAATACTTACTTCCTCGAATGAATTAAGTGGCGCAGATAGGAAACCCAATCGGTTCCCATCCTTCTATTCTACACGTGTGTACACGATGCCCCGGAAGTTGCGCACTTCCTTTCAGATAGCAAAAGACGAACTAAGAGAAATGACCACTTAAATACTGAAGCTTTCATGAGAAACGATTAATTAACGAATGTTGATTGTCTCGAATTAATATTGGATTTTCGAAGATACTTTGGATTGATATTTGATCCTTTATTCCAAAAAATAAGACAAAGATAAAAGGAGATAAAAAAAAGCGTTGATGCGTCATGAATGTAACGGTAGACGACGAATGTCTCTCTGCTGACTTGCAGTAAAGCGTAGTTTCGCTTTTTCACGCGATGCAGTAAAAATATAAACAAAGGCGTCGCATGCTGGCGCAACGTGAAATGTGTTTACACGTGTGTATACGCGTGCGCGACACATGACGAGTCATGTCCAAAAATAGTTGCGTCGCGCGTGGGTGGTGTGCATGGCTGAATAATAAATGGAAGAAAAAAGAAGCAGAACTAGACTGTGTGAAGTTTTTACTACTTCGACAAAATGGCTGTGTGGCAACAAACACGCGATGTAAAGAAATTGAAATTTCGTCCAAATATTCAAAATCGCATAAAAATAAATTTTTATGACACGAGGCAACGTTTTTCCATGCACTACTTTTTGTTTTACTATTTTTTTACGTTCAAATTCAATCTTTTTATGATTATAAAAATTTATTGTATTAATTTATCATATCAATCAATCTAATGTTGATAATTAATTAATATCCATTTCTACCAATATAGATTAACTTTAATCTCGGTTTTACTCTTTATTCTTTTCTAATTCTTAGAACTATGTAGAAAAGATAAAAAGTAAGTTAAACCAAGATAAAAATTAATCTACATTGATAGAAACAGGCATGAGACAAATAATTCTTTTTTTCCTTTTTTTTCCAAGAAATTGCAAATTTTATCATTAGATGCTTATCTCTCAATCATTATGTTACTCAATTATATATTGACTCAATCTCTTTTCATCTTCGTACAATCGATTAATCGTTATCAAACAAATTTCCAAAGGACGGTGATTAAGTTCAAAATGAGCACTACAAATCGTTAATGATACATCGCTCGCGTGAATATATATACATAACGTCAAGAAAGCAATATATTTTAGCGCGTGAGTGATAACACGTGTACGGGTGGATCGTGTACGTAATTATGATTAATGATACGTTCTTTTATTTCGAATAGACTTTCTTCCAAATATTATTGCAAGTGCATTGTCGGCACTTCCCCCGAATGGTAAGAAATATTTACTTTCAAAGTAACATGAGATAGAAATTTTCAAACTTTATAATATTATTAGACATTGATCGTTTGGAGTTCCTCTACTTAAAATTTTACATATCGATTTAGTTTTTCTTATAATTCATCTAATAATTTATTTCCTCTGTGAAGTTAGTATCTTAACTTTAAAAAAATGAACTTTTTATTATAATTCTGAATATGTTCCGAAGAGTTTTAGAGCCCTTCCTAAAATTCAAAATATTTATGGCGAATTAAAAAAAAATCGAACAATAAACACTTAGAGTGCCAACTCCACACAAAAGGAATTTATTTTAAAATTTCTAGTGAAAAGGTTTGAACACCACACAAATTTTTAACGCCCGTTTTGCTTTACAATTTGTCACGTTATCCCAAAATCGAATTTTGCGCAATTTACTGTTGACATAAACATCTAATGCAATATTATTGGTTGTGTCATCGCTCGCGGTGTAGACGTTCGAGCGTGATTTCGCTTAACCGTGAATAAAAAATTTTTATACCATCAAAGCCTCTCTTCAACGTTATCGCGGCACGCGATAATATAATTCCGATAATGCATACGTGTTGCGTTTCGTCTGCAGAATTCAGTTTTATTGACACAGAAAACAAAAAAAAAATGATCGTGCACTCTACGTACAATACGTTGAAGATTATATAGACTATTAGTAAATATTAAAGAATAGTGAAAAGAAAATGTGAAAAATGAATACTGAATTAGTTCAAATGAATACTTTGCTCATTGTTATGAGATATGAAATATTAAACAGAAAGAACGGTTTTGTTAAAGTATTCAAAAATTTAGATCGATTATGAATCCGTGAAAATAATTTTGTTAGACTATTAAAAAATTATGTAAGACTCACAAGTTGATTGCTAAAACTTTTTGCAGCATTGCCATTTTGCTTGAGTACATATTAATTTTGATAGTCTAACAAAATTATTTTGAGTCCATATCGAACTAAATTTTTAGACATTCCAGCAAAACCGTTCTTTCCATGAATATAGAATATTGTGAAATAAGTGAAAAGTATTTTTCAACACACGCAAAAATTGATTAAAATTTTTATTTTACCATAAATTTTATTTTGCCGGTTCGAATATATATATTCATTTATATCCGTGTGCGAGTGTCCACACAACAAGAAATAAAGTTGATAATGTTTCGAAATATACGAACAACGAAATGCAAACGCAATTTGTTACTATCAGGTGCTGACATAATTATGTGCGAATTGCGACAACCTTCCAACGAACGAATTGAATTAACCTAGGCAATACGCTTCCTACATATGTAAATGCATCGAACAAATTAACCATGATAAATTCTAATTAGGAGTCAAATATTTTTTGCAAAATTATTTTCGCGATCGTACACGGAGAGAATTTTTTCTTAGAGTTTGCCCTAAAAATATGATAGTCATGGGACAATGTATTTGCAAGAATTTTAATGTAAATTTCTCTCATTCATTAATAAAACTACAATAAAGTATAAAATAAGTTTGATTAATTTTACTAAAGTGCATGATAAAAATCTTTAAAATATTGTATTGTACCACAACTACCATATTTTCGGGGTAAATTTTAAAACAAAATTCTCTCCGTATACGATTATACATATATGTATATAATAAAATTATAATTCTAAGCAAATATACACGTTTTTCCACAGAGAATAATGAAAGTCTATTTTTCAGAAATTTCTAACTATATAAGATCAATTTCTACTGATACAGATTAATCTTTAACTAGTTTAACTTTCTCGTTATTTTTTTAATGCCAATTTCTACCTGTAAATTAACTTTAATCTTGTTCAGCGTACTCTTCATCCTTTTCTAGAACTCGAAGAAGATAAAGTTAGTTGAACCAAGATTAAAATTAAATTATATTAGCAGAAACGGATATAATTTCAATGTTTATTTCTACCAATGTAGATTAGCTTTAATCTTAATTAACTTATTTTTTACTCTTTTTTAATTCTAAGAATTAAAAGAGATAAAGAATAAATTAAATTAAGATCAAAGTTACTCTACATTGATAGAGATGGATATTGGAACGACAAAAAAAATAGTAAATTAAACAGAGATTAAAGTTAATCTACACTGGTAGAGATAAACATAATTAAGATAACTCTCCAATCGTATCTTTATTCCACTGTCCCCGTTAATATTTTAAGAATAGAAAAATTCACAACTCTATTTCTAAAATAATCCATGAATCCATTCCTAAATTATAGCGAAGGAATTAATTCCCTTTAACATAAGAGAATTGAGCAAATGATCGACGTAAGTAAGCTGATAATTAACGCAATATTTGGCAAGGACCAATGTGAAAATAATAATCATTATCCTCTCAATTATCTGGCGTTCATTGTGTATCGTACAATATAAGTATAAACAAACTTCGTTATAGTCAAAACGGCTGAAGCTTCTGTTTTGATAGATATGCAAAAATACTTATGCGCGATGAGTTACGAGCAGATTAGAGGTGTGAAAAACGGAGATACGCCGGGCAATCGAGCAAAACGTGCCGCGTTTCGTTATGAATTACAACACGCATGATTTCATCGGGATAATCTGTAACCGCCGATCAAGCGAATGTCGTCGCTGATAACGATAGCGTTAATTTTTTTGTACACGAGCGCGTGTGCGGGCCAAACAATTTCAAAAACAAACATCGCCCGGTTGCATTCATACACCTAATCGACAGAGATCCAAAGGCGAACGTACGCTTCGAGTTTTTATTAACCATTTTATTTGTGTGGCATCTATATCTTTTTTTGCCCCTCAAAAGCTCCACACATTGAAATCAAGGCGTCAATTGGAACTGTGTAAATATGACGTTAAATTTGTCAAAAGTTGAATGAAAATATATACCATCGTTGAAAACATTAAAAAGTATTAAAAACAATGATTCTATTGTGCGTTATTCAGCTTATTTAGCGACGTAGAATGATTTTGCGGAAATATCTAAAAATTTAATTAGATGCGGATCTGAAAATAATTATAGAACGCTGAAGTTTAGTTGCTAGAATGTCAAAATTTTTCGTAGCATTGCTCATCGTGTTTGAATTGTCTATATAATTATTTTGATGGTCCAATCAAATTATTTTCATATCGGTATCTGTCTTAATTTTAGATACTTTAGCAAAATTATCTCTTCCGTATAGATTTTCCAAATTTTTTTTTACAAGAAATCACATCAGCATTATGATTTATTGAATTCTTTACTGTAATTAACGGTAAAATTAATTGTAATCAGCAAAAAATAATTAGAATCTAAAGAAAAAAATTGGAATTTATATAATATAAAAGATTATATAGAAAGAATAGTTTTGCTAAAGTATCTAAAAATTTAGCTAGATACAGATCTGAAAATAATTATGTACGCTCGAGCTGCTTCTGGAATTTCAAAATTTTTAGTTGTATTAAGTACTCATTACGTTTGAATTTCCTACATAATTATTTTGATGGACCAACAAAATTATTTTCAAATCTATACGCCTAAATCATTGTACATACTTGAATAAAATGATTCTTTCCGTGCCCAGACGAATATGCAAGACTCACCAGTGATAGTGGACTGTTTCCTCGCGGCAGAAGGTAGTACAGGAGTGGTCGGCTCTATCGCGCACCTCTTCCTCTTGGTATCCGGATTGAAGAGTTGACTGGGCGTCGTAGCCTCGCCGATCTCAGGCACTCGGGGCTCCTGCGGCGGTGTCCTCTCGGCCGTCGGCGCGACGACGGTCTCCATTTGCTCCATGACTCTCGTGCTCGTCACCGTGGTCATGATCGCCGTCAACGACGTCGCCGCAGTCGATACCGTCGTTGTCGGTGGCATCGAGGATGCTGACGTCGAGCCGGTGGTCGAGTCGTCGTCGAAGCGCAATTTGCGCGGGGTACCAGGCGCGTGTTTTCTCAGGTAGGGCATGCCGCGCAGGGCGTAGGGCTCGGGCACGACGTCGTGCTCCGTGATCGGTTCCCACTCGTAACGCGAGCTCGATTTAAGAGGTGCACCCACTTGGAAGTTGAATCCCCATCGATTGGCATCGAGCTGCGACTGAGCCCGCAATTCGCGCTCGGCGAGCGCTC